CACATAGTATATTCACATTGATATAAATATAATTGCACCTGTACTAAAGTACGAGATACCACATACGAGTTTGATAAACAATATGAACAATGATAAACGTTACGAAATATGCAATGACGTATAACCCATGATGCATGAGTTAGACGGCGCAGGGACGCCCCTGCCCTTCGATGATCATCACCACGCGGTAGATGAGCCGAGGAACGCCTTAGTCTCCGGAAGGAGCCTAGAATGTGGGTGATAGCTAAGCCTAGCTACCATGTACGTACACAATGATGGTACAGAATGTGGGTGATAGCTAAGCCTGCCTACCATGTACGTTACAATGATGGTCTGTTATCGGTTGAAGTGATCTTGGGGATCTGTCGTTCCATCATACCTTGGCATGACGGGCATCTGGAAATTGTCTGGTAAAGGCGCCCTTAGCACTCTTTTAGAGAAAGGAGAGCGGAGTTTGATAGTGGGCTCGTGAGCATAACCACGCTCGTTTCTCCTCTCGAGTGCGTTTATCCTCTGTAAGAGGATTTGGATCCGCTCGTCCCTGAGGGCGTTCGCTGTTCCCCAGTCTGAAGAGGAGATCGTGGATAGGCTGTTCAGCCTGAGGGACAAACCTTTCAGGCTGTGCGTCCCGGTGATGCTCGCACTGTTCCTCACATAGTATCCTTACCTTGCGAGCCTGGTCACGGGCGATGGTGTTCCTCCAGCCATGCGACCGATCTTTGGTGTTTCACTCTCGTCTTGTCCTTCCTTCACGGGTTTGCGGCGCCTTCCTGCTTTTTCCCTATCCTTGTACCTTGCTTGCTTTCTCGCAACCGGATCCTCTAGGGCCTTGCCGTGGACCTTCTGCGTTGAGATCGGCCTATTTCCTTATCCATGCGCCCATCCGTCATCAGTCCCATGCGAGAATTTTCCATCAACTCTTTTAGATGGTGGGCGAAAAACTATGCGTTTTCCGCCATGTTCTGCGAATCCTCCTGCTGTCCTTCATACAAGAATGCCGCTGACTAATGCATGGAGTTGGCGCATGGAAGCCCATCATGGACTGGTTCATCATCATCGCCCTCATCATGGTCTAGTAGCTATTGGGATCCATGGAGGGGTTTTGGATTCTGGACGTCTCGCCGAATTGGAAGAGCGGCGAGTTGATGCTGCCTGGCAGCATTATCTCCGCGCCGCGGATCATCCCTCCAGGCTGCTGGGTCACCATACCAGCCTCCAAGGCCGGTATTTGCTGGGCAGGCTACCGGAGGCCTTCTCCGTCAACGCGGGTATATGATCTACAGTTATACCCCTATGTGATTCCTATGAAGAATAAATGGCGTGCTTATTATTTTTATATTCCTGATATTTATAAAAATTGGTATTATTTGTAGTAATCGCTTTAAGATTGATAATTTTAAAATTCTAATTGAATATTACTAGAGTTGTTTTTTGATGAAAATAGTAATTTTTATGATCATTTAATAGAATGGACAGAAGAGAGAATTTCAAAATTATTTATTAATCTTTTTGAGTTATTATTTATAGAATTTCAAGCGATTTACAGTAATGCACTGAAAGAAACAACACCTCCTCCGCCTCTCAAGGCAAAAAAAAGGTTTTAAAGGGATAGTCATTGGTCTCTTGGCAAAAAAAGGTAAGCGTAGTTCTTCCTCGACGAGTTTAGGTGGTACACGTGTACGTTCGCACAATGAACTTGCTATGTACCAAGGGGTGCCATGCAATTACGACGAAGACAACGACAGGGCCTTCGACGTCCTCGAATGGTGGAAGCAGAATGTTCTCATCTCTCGGAATGCTAGCTAGGCAAGTCTTATCCATGCCGGTTTCAACCCTAAGTGTGGAACGAGAACTCGATTCTAGCGTCAACATTTTTGACTACCGAAGTTTTCTTAGCGCTGAGTCGCTTGAGACACTTGTTTTTAACCGAGATTGGCTCTTGACAAGACGTCGAGCTCAAGAGTTAGGGTACGACATTGATACTGAAAATTACATAGATTTAATTACAGAGGGAAGTCCTAGTTTTGAGGAATAACTTTTTATTTTTTTAAATTATAATTAGTTCTTTTAGGTGAGCGATAAATAAATTCTTTCGAGGGTTTATTTACAATTCTTTCCCTCATCGCTTTTTTTTAACCGTTAGGATATTTTATGTAGTTGTTTTGTACTATTTATTTTTCATTATTTAAATACAGTAACAATTACATTTTTAGATATTCTATTTCATAAAAAGTTATAAATTTCTTTTGTTTTTGCACTTACATATTTATAAATTATCACAAAAAATATTTAAAAAAATGAAGGCAGGACAAACAGTCTATATTGTGGCACCCGATTACGCACTCATTTATTTTCACCCGATTTTCGTGGTTGTGTTTTGGGTGAAGGAAACCTCTAGTCCTGCACGTGACGTCATCAATGGCTTTCTCTGCATTTTTCTCAGCGCCCATAAGCTCTAGTTGCGCCGGACCTGCCAAGCTCTTCATCAACCCATGCTTCAACTTTCCTCCTTCCGTTGCGTTTCTCTCTTCAAACCCGCCGCCTTTCCATAAAGCCGCCTTTCTCCCGTCCTCCAGATTCTCCTCGCCTCTTCTCAAGTCCAGATTCTCTGCAAATATCTACTCAAGAGCTGCCACCGAGAAGAGTGTTCATGATTTCACGGTCAAGGTATTCTATCCATGTTTATTTTCTGTCATAGCAATTCAGTTGCTCTTAATTATTATGCTTTATGTATAGGGATCGGTTTAAATTTCGTTCCCCTTCAAATTAGGTCCTGGAATGTTTTATGTCTTTTGCAGCAATAATTATCAAAACTCAAGCTGGAGTTGAATGTTAAGATCTTCTATCTTCATGCTTGAAAGGAAGATAATCTCTTTTCGAAGAGATCTCTCAAGAACTAATGTTTTTTGTATAATTGAAATTCCTTTATTCTTGCTTTATCTCCTTTATAGTAGCCTGTTAAATTGGAATTAAGATATTCTATCCCACTTCTCATATTCCAGTTAATTACTCCTTCCTTGTTAATCATGATTAATTCTTGTGCTTAAGCCCATTGGTGTATCACTCTAACACGTTTCTATTGTCCTAAATGCAGGATGTAGAAGGGACAGATGTTTCACTAAGTAAATTTAAGGGAAAGGTTCTGTTGATTGTAAATGTTGCTTCGAAATGGTTCTTTCTCTCTCTCTCTCTCTCGATGTTAATGAATATAGTGGATAAATATAAACAATTAAGGAGTACATGATGATCTTTCTTACTGAAGTTTGGTGCTGAGCCTTGGGTGTTTAACCTGACTCTAGTTTTTGTTTTTGGTTTCAGTGGCTTAACAAGTTCTAACTACTCAGAACTCTCTCATCTATATGAAAAGTACAAATCTCAAGGTGGGATCATTTTTTTAGTGGGAACATGCTATGCTATTTTCTTGTGCTCTGCCAATTTGACATTCCTTTTCACAATGATTGAGAAAAGAAATCGCTTATCGTTGATCTTCTTTGTGTTGAAAATCGCTTATCGTTGATCTTCACTTGCAACTTGTACAATTGTTTCATATTGAGACTATTGAATGCATTTCTTATTTTAAAGTTACGCAACATCTAAGTTACTAAAAGCATATGCGATAGTGATACTTCCTCCGTCCCACATTTTTTGTCCATCCCAGAAGTAGTAATGGAGGGAGTATCACATTTGTTCTTAGGAATTTAGATGTTGCGTACTTGCGTGTATTTTTGGGAACTAAGGAACTTTTTTTAAGTGTTTGTGTGGCTCGCATACATACTTTTTCTTACTTAACATTATACCATCTGTACAATTCCACTTTTCTTGATATGCATGCCAGTGTGCCACCACTCCATGTCCCAAAAATAGTGCGACACAGGGACTAAATCTTATTAGGAAAAATTATATTATCATGTTTATGCTATATTTTTGTTTGGCCAATCGCACATGATCAAAAACATAGATAATCTTAATCCTTTTACTGTACCTCTGAAACTTTTGTATAAACCTCTATCGCCAAAAATATCATATTGGTGTGACAGATGCTAATACTTGTTTGATTCCATTTATCACAGGATTCGAAATTCTTGCTTTCCCATGTAATCAATTTGGGGGGCAAGAACCAGGATCCAATGAGGAGATAAAACAGTTTGCTTGCACACGGTTCAAAGCTGAATTTCCTATTTTTGACAAAGTCTGTTCCAATGCTATTTTCTCATTATTCCATGTTAACAAACTCTTGAAGACTAGAACAATATACATATATCTACGGAGTAATATATTCATGATAACAGGTTGATGTGAATGGGCCAAACACAGCACCAGTTTACAATTTCCTAAAATCAAGTGCTGGAGGATTCTTAGGGGGTTTCATCAAATGGAACTTTGAGAAGTTCCTTGTGGACAAAAACGGAAAAGTAGTGGAAAGATATGCACCAACAACTTCTCCTTTTCAAATAGAGGTATTTGTTTACTACTATATATGACATCTTTATGCTGCTGGTATAATGTGGTCGGAGATCTTCTTATGCAAACTTTGGGTGCCGGATTATTTAAGAACTTGACAGTTATTTTAGTAAAAATCATCTGCTTATCAACATGCTCAAACTATAGCAAAAGTTTATTATTACCCATCCCCAAAAAAGAGCCATGTTTGACCTATGACCAATATACAACTTTTAAATTCCCCAAAGTATAGCAATAGTTTATCACATTTTTTGGTATTGTACACTGATAGAATTTGGGATGAGTATGGACAACTGGATTGGGTAATAGACACTTGGGCTGAACCACATTAAAAGATTGAATCCAATCGCTTAGTTAGTTTAACTCAAGAGCTTATATACCGGATTATTTTACTCTTGAACTTCCGATGTGGGATGCACTTTAACACTCCCCCTCAAGTGGACAACCGGGCCATTTTGAATCTAACCGGTTGACCACTTGCAAATATACTCCCATTCCCTTGTTTTTTTTTGAGCGCCAACACCTAAAGGACCACGAGCCGCTGGGTATGGACTTCCAGACGAGCAATCGTGTTAAACGGGCCACAGGCCGTTGAGTACATACTCCATACGGACAACTGGGCTAAAGACAAACGGGCCGCTAGGAATGAACGTCTAGACGGACACCTTGACAAACGAGGTGGGCTAAAACCTGCTCCGATACCATGATATAATTTGAGATGGGTATGGACAACTCGATTGGGTAATAAGACACTTGGGTTGAACCACATTAAAAGATTGAATCCAATCGATTACTTAGTTCAACTCACGACCTTATATACCGATAACTTTTCTATTCAACTTCCGATGTGGGATAAATCCCCCTCAAGTGGACAACCGGGCCATTTTGAATCTAACCGGTTGACCACTTGCAAATGAACTCCCAATCCCTTGACTTTTTTTTGAGCGCCAACACCTAAAGACCACGAGCCGCTGGGTATGGACTTCCAGACGACCAATCGTGTTAAACAGGCCACAGGCCGTTGGGTACACACTCCATACGGACAACTGGGCTAAAGACAAATGGGCCGCTAGGAATGAACGTCTAGACGGACACCTTGACAAACGAGGTGGGCCAAAACCTGCTCCGATACCATGATATAATTTAGGATGGGTATGGACAACTGGATTGGGTAATAGACACTTGGGCCGAACCACATTAAAAGATTGAATCCAATCAATTAGTTAGTTTAACTCAAGAACTTATATACCGGATTATTTTACTCTTGAACTTCCGATGTGGGCTGCACTTTAACATACACGTCATAAGTTGTGAATCGTGCTTATATTTAGTTTTTCAATTTGTTTGTCTGTTCCACTAAAGTAACAATGTGTAACTTGTTTGTGACTCTTTTTTGAGCATTCTTTTTGCAAATTACATGAAAAGATGTCTTTGCTTGGTCAAAATGAACTTTTTTATGACAAAATCACTTTGAAACGAGACTTTTATGGAGGATCCGAGGGTGGGGTGGGGGCTGTCATCAAACACGAGACAACAACATATGGTAGAAACCCAGTACAACCCAACATCGTTGGAGTCTTGGGAGGGGGAGGGGGGGTCAAGATGTATGCAACTCCTTACCCCTCTAAAACGTGAAAAGTAGAGAGGTCACATTTCAAACCGTTCCTCAAGCTAAACAGTGTTGGTGTGGCTGTGTTGACTGAATTTTCTTATTGGTGGTTTAATTTTAATGATATAAAATTTTCTCTCCCTGGATAAGGATCGGTGATTGGTTGGACTGGGTCGTGTTTCCTGAACACCAGGGAGCTTTCAATCCTGCACGATAGATCCCTATATTGCTTTTAAAAAAAGATCCCTGAGTTCGTTGCAGAGGAGTACATATAATATGTTGTAAGAATTCCTGTTAATAATACTCTCCATGAGAGCTTTTGTCAACAACTTTGAAACCTTGAAGCCCTACCTCTTAATTTCAATGTGATTAGTAACCAGTCCTCAATCTAGAAAAAGATTGATTTTTTGGGTGTCTCGTGGAAAAGTTGTATTATTTGGAGAAAAACAGATTGTCTTTGCCACCTTGCTCCCTAATCCAAATACAAAAGCAATACAAAATTGCAATTTAGATAAAGAGCATTGACTTCGAAAGTGGCAAGGGGTAGAAAGGGATTGTAAAGAATAGTGTTGCAATTGTTGAAGCTATCTCTCAAGATGTGGATTTATCTTTTCTTCTAATCCTTCCATTTGCAAAAACAGTTCCTATTTTGACTTTTGACAAATTTATTTTCGTAATTTCACTTTCTAATTATATCCTTAGTGTCAAAGAAAAAAGAGGGACAAATCATTGAAATAACTTATTATATCAATGCAAAATAGAGAGAGTATGTTGCAATGACTTTACTTGGATATATTAGTCAATATTTTTTGTAAAAGTGGAAGTGTTTTGAAGAAAACAGAAAAGAAGAAAGAGGAAATGTTTTCAAAAACTGGAGTATGTTATTAGCTTTACTTAGTCTCTTTCTTCACAAAGTTTTGACTTACTTTGCAAAACTAGTGTTTCACATGCTTGTTTTGGGGCTTCTTAGAAAACTATCTATGAGAGTTCTAATTTTGTTTTTTCAAGTTCCTAATAATAGAACCAAGTGTTATCTTCTCTAGGGTAGGTATTGACAGGCACTGTGTATTAAGTTCCCACATTGGCATTTAACCGACCTATAGATTTTGTATTATGCTTCTTGCAAAACTGCAAGGTTTGTCCACCCACTTAAAATAGACCCTTTCTTGGACTGACATGGATGCTTTGTGCACCAACCTGCCATTGTTATGTTGTTCCTTCTCTTTCCTAATCTCTAACCAACATCTTTTTGTTTTACTCCTGCTGGCCCACAAAAGTTTTTCCACTTTTCATTTCCGCATGTCCCAAAAAGATTTTCTCACTTCCATTTTCGGCAACGTCATTACACTTGAATCCCCAATATGCCATCAACAACTTTCCCATTCATTACCACACCTTTAATCCCCACCTCCCTTTCTTATACCACTCATATTTCCAAAATGATTTCTTCCACCACACCTTTCTTTGTAAAATATATTTTGACCACACATTTCTTATGGAAGTTATTTCCACCACACCTTCTTACGTTTACTTTAGGAAAGTCAGAGAACAAACACCTTGTTTAAAACACCGTGAAGTCAAAGTGGACAAAATATTTTGGAATGGAAGTATTTATTTTTCTATGCTTCATGCGGGTTTTTATTTGTAGGTATTATGATGTTCCTAAACTTCTTTCCATTGCCAATGGAGCTAAAAGAGTCATTTTTACATTGATTTAGCAATAATGGATTATATCAAAATGACACATTAAACGGCCCCAAATCCCAACACAGTCGGAATTCTAGGTTTTTGTGGTATAGTGTTCCTAAACTTATTCCCTTAATTCCCTATATAAAAAATAACTTATTCCCTTAATCTTTCACAGAAGGATATTCAGAAACTGTTGGATGCATAGGCAGCTTCCGTGCTCTGTACACAAGCCTCAAGGGACAAACAATGCCGAAGAGAATCAGCTTGAAGTATCAATGGTGTCATGTTTTCTATGTATAGGAACAGATATAGCCTTGCAAGGGTGCTGATTTTATGTACTATTAAAAAACTTTTTATGTTCAATGTCTTTTGCAAATTTAGATGGAAGGCATTAATAAGATTTGCAGGGCAAGGCAGCTTTGATACTTTTCAGCTTATGTTGATGTATTTCGCCAGAGTACTTGCATCATTCATTCCAAACCGAAAGGGAAGAGTGTTTATTGTACTGTGTTTGTTGTACATCTTGTACATATGCCCATTTACAAGTAAAAATAATCACTCATTTGCGTTCATTTATTTCTTTGCATATACATAAAATACTTACATTATAAAGTTGATGTGTGCACATTTAATAATTGTATACTACTCCATTTCATTGCTAAAAGAATTTTTCATTTTGTTTTTAACGCTTCCAATCAATTAAAAACAAATGTAAATGCAAAACAATTGTAAATTTTTTTTATAGTACATACTTAGAGTGTGTACATTATAAAAATAGTGAATGTGTATTTAGGAGTACTTGGGGTACATAAAAATAGGTATATTTGAGTGTATGGAGTATAATATTCCTAACACTACGTTTGGTTCAAAGAATTTGGAAGAAAAAAAAAGAAAATGATTTTCTGTCATTTTTTTCACCAAAATGGGAGGAATTTGGTTTTCCTTTCATTTAATACATTTGTCTTCTCATTTTCTTCTTTCCACTTTTTTTTCTTTTTCTCTCTAACCAAATAAGAAAAATTATTTTCCATTTCATTTTGTTTTCTTTTCCCTTTCAAAATCTGATATATAATATACTCGGGAGTATTTATGTAGAAAGTGATTAATATGGAGTGTTAGCCTTTGTTTGTTCAGTCTCATGTTTTGATGTTAACAAACAATATAAGAGCTTGACGTTTGTTTAAATGTTTCAGATACAACAAGAATCCATTAAGATTCGGTACTCAAGAATGAAGTTGAAACACCAAACTATGCGTAGAATATAGATAGAAACCAATGTAAGGATATGATTTTATATATACCTATATTCACAAACTCAAAAACACTCACAAAATATGTTTAAAACCCTTTTATAATCATTTTCAAACATCCAAAAGGTTTTAAATAAAATTAGAAACGATTTGGACAAAAATGAAAAAATTGTCAAAATGGTCATAAGGTACCTAGGTACCGTAAGCACGAGACCCCCTACCGTAATGGGTACCGTAAGAGGATAGGTAGCGCCAGAGAGTTTTGGCCTGAGATGGTACCTAGCTACCGTAAGCACGGGACCCCCTACCATGACTGTTGGGTTACTATTCCTGATTTGTGATTTTACCTTTAATCAATCCTAATCACCTCCCAATGGCTAATTAACCTTTTCCACTATAAATACAAGCCTAATCCTTCATATTTCTTCAAGAAACAAAGCTCTAAACATCCTCTCTTTTTATTCTAAGTGTGTTCATCCTTTTATTAATTATTTTTAATATTTTGGCTATTTTAAGAGCCTTAAGATCCTGATTTTAATACACACACTTTAAGCTTGTGTTTTTAGTTATATACTCTCATATTCATAAGTTTATATTGTATTTTTGAGAGAGTATAATTTAGTTATACACCAGCTAAGTTTTGTTCTTCATTTTTTTATTCAAGCCGTTGGGTAGAACCTTTGTTCGTGTTCTTCAAACACACCTACTTGCGGTCGAGAATAGCCGTTAAATTCTCACATTGTGACGGTCAAAGATAGCTGTATAAATCCTTGGATAAAGGTTCAAGGATAGCCTTTGAAATCCTTGGGGGAGCAGTAGAAGATAGCCATTAAATCTTCATTGTAAACGGTTCGAGATAGCTGTAGTGAAATCTCTGAGTGAATCCTATTGGCAAGGGTTGTTCGCCAAACTAGTGCGGTGCTTTGACGGGGTTCAAGAGGCCGGAACTTAGTGGATTTAGAAATCTTTGAGGAGGAGCCTCGAGGTACTGGAGTAGGGAGTTCCTGAACCAGTATGAAATCGGTGTGCATTTTATTTACGCTTTTATTTCTGCGTTTTATATATTGTTTCCGCATTTGCCAACACTGTTTTAATCAAACTCCGAAAAGATTTTAAACGCCTTATTCACCCCCCCTCTAAGGCGTGGGCACAACGTATAAAACGAATAACATGGAGCACTTGATATACATTGTTCAGTGTTGAGCTGTTGACTTTTTTGAGAATTTAGTAGTGTCTGGTTGAGATTTTAGTTTCAGAACTTCTTCAATTTATTATCTATTCTTAATTATATCAAATCGTATCAGTCTGACTACAATTAGACTAAATCATATAAAAACTAATCAGATCTAATGAAGAAATGAATCCATCACTCTATAAATGAAAATAATCAAATTATACGGAGTTTAGTGAGTTAGATGGGGATTCAGAAGTCATTTGTCTTTGATTCTATAAGTTGAGTTCGTAAAATAGTAAAATCTCATCCTAGAATTAATGGTTAACATTTGTCTTAAACTTTGAAAACAATCCATTACTGATTATATTTTTAATAACTTCTGGAATTTTTAAAATTAGTAAATTATGAAATGTGGCGAAGCTCTATAAATTGTATCCACCAACCACCACTTTGGAATCTGATTCCAAAACCGTTTACTCAATCATGCGCACCTGCAAAAAAGCGTACAAAATTATGTTTCAAAATTGGAAAAATTGATATAAATATTCCCAAAAATCTGAAATTTTACAATAAATCTTATGATGTAGTTTTTAGATATATAATTTTATTTTTTGGTTTCACACCACTTTTATGAAACATCGTAACACGTAAAAGAAAAATATTTTTTAGAGTACTGGAGCCTTTATTTGGTTTTGAGAGTATTATTGTAAAATTTTGAATTTCAGGGAGTATTTATATAATTTTTTCCTCTTATTAAAAAAAACAACTAAGATGTCAACTAAGCATAATTACTTACATGTAAGCGTAAGAAAAGCTGATTAGGCATAATGGGAATAGTGATGTAAACTTATAGTTTAATTGGGAGCACCAGAGTCATTTATTAAATTTGGGAGTATTATTGTAAAATTTCGAATTTCTGGGAGTATTTATATCAATTTTTCCTTCAAAATTTATATACTCCCTTTGTTTCTAAAAAAATTGCAATCTGTAGCAATATTTTAGGAATGAAAGGAGTATTTAAAAAAGAAAGTACATCAAAAAAAACTGTTAAAAACGAATATCTCACATGAGTATAACATTTTATCAAATAACTAACAAAATGGAAAAAATATGAATAAAATTTAGTCTTATGAAAAATAGACAAACAATTTAAATTTGGACTATTGGAGTTTTGGTTTTGATCACAAATTTTACATTGGCTTTACACCACCACAATAGCTAACAAAAATACTGTGTTAATGCTCTTGTTGAACCTAGCTTTTGTTCACTATGTTTGAAAACTGGTCTTTCTGATATTTTAGTCTCAAAAAGAGAGAAAAACCCGGATACACCTCATACACAGAATTTACTGCCCGAACCGATCACAAACCTATACTAATTATATGCCCAAACCCGTCCAATTAGGGTTTGAGCTGTTTAGGTACCTGAATTTACCCGCCCCCTTTCATCCAACACACCCATATGTTTTGATCCCTTTAACTGCATCACCACATCAAATGGTAACAATTGAAATAGATCTTTGCATCTAAAACACAAGTAAATCACTCTATATTTAGGGTGTGTTTGATTGAAGGGAATGTTTTCTCAAAAAAAATTGATTCCATTTTCTTCCGTTTGGTAAGAAAATATTTTCCAAGAATTTTTTCTTCATTCAGAGGAAAATATTTTCGGTTCGTTTTCGAAGGAAAATTATTATTCACTCCCCGTCCTCACACTCATCCGCCACCCCATTTGTCATCAAACGGTCACAATATACATAGATCTTTATATCCAAAAACAAAAGTAAATCACTCTATATTCAGTGTTAAACTTCTCCAAACAACAATTATTAGAGGAAGAATATGGAGGGAGG